TGTTTAAAATGGCTCCCCGCACAGTTCGGCTCCCGCCTGGCACCCCGCTTTGCTGTCCCTGATATAGAGGCAGCAGTGCAGGGTGGAAGGGGCTCCCCGGGAGTGGGGCTGGGAGCAATTGGCTGCTGCCCTGCCCCCAGGGACTATCAAATAGTCATGTAACTTCTAAGATTTCATGCGGTTACATGACTATTCGATTACATGACATCTAACATCCCTAGTATAATTTGTGAGGTTTTATTATACAGGCAGTCCCTGACTTATGTGGATCTGACTTACGTCGGATACCTACATACGAATGGGGCTTTTCTCGCCGCGGCTTTGCTCCACGTCTCCCTGGTCTACTGGGGGGGGGGGCAGCAGACCAGGGAGACGCGGAGCGGCTTTTCTCGCCGCAGAGGACGCGGGCGGCGGGACCGCCCAGACGCGCCGCGGTCCCGCCGCCCGCGTCCTCTGCGGCGAGAAAAGCCGCTCCGCGTCTCCCTGGTCTGCTGCCCCCCCCCCCAGTAGACCAGGGAGACGTGGAGCAAAGCCGCGGCGAGAAAAGCCTGGTCTGCTTGGGGGGGGCGCACTAGCTGGGGTGCACGAGCTTTTCTGCCTCGGGCCTCCTGTAGTCAGCCGCTGGGCAGTTTCAGCAGCGGCTGACTTGAGGACGCCTGGGGCAAAGAAGCTGGGGTGCTGCCGGGTTGGTCCCGCAGCACCGCTCCTCCGGGCTACTGGACCAACCCGGCAGCACCCCAGCTGCTTTGTCCCAGGTGTCCAGATTCAGCTGCTGCTGAAACTGATCAGCGGCTGATTCCGGGAAGCCCGGGGCAGAGCAGCTCTGCCTCTGGCTTCCTGTAGTCAGCTGCTGGTCAGTTTCAACAGCGGCTGAATCTGGACGCCAGTTCCGACTTACATACAAATTCAACTTAAGAACAAACCTACAGTCCCTATCTCGTACGTAACCCGGGGACTGCCTGTATATTTGAATGTTTGCCTTGTGGTCTAGCAGTAGTTATTTGTAATATTATTTGAGTTTGATGCCTGGTGTTCATATTTACTCCCCAGAATTTAATAATTGTTCCATTTTATTGTAAAGCTAGTTGGTAGCTGGACCACTATGAGCTATGTCAGGTTTCTCAGCTAGGAAAAGTTAAGCATGGCCCGTTTGTGGATAGAGAATGGCAATTTTTTAAGTGGAAGAATCCTGTGAAATGTGTATCTTTTCTACATTACACTTTAGCTGTGGTATTGTCTCCTGCAGGATCTTTTTGTAGTTTTGTTTCTATTCCTGCTACTCTTGTGAAGTGCTTTATGTTTGAGTTCTCAATATGGAAGTCACACTGCCAAAGCATGTTGCAAACAGGTATCCAGAAGTTCTGTCAAACCTGTCCTTTCCATACCATTATATGGAAGGATGCTGTCAGCTAGGTCCAATCGGGGTGGAGAAATACCAACCTGTGAGCTGGTTCCGGTCCACCGGGGTTAGCTCCTGGTTGGCCCCCACCATTATATTTACCTGCAAGGTCTCAGGTACTTGTGATAGCAGCCCCTGTTGACCCTGAATTGCCATAGTTTCCTGGTTCGAGCTGCTTCCTGCTGCTCCCATTGACTGGGAATGGTGATCTGCGGCCAACAGAAATGATCAGTGGTACCTGCCTCCATGAAAGGAAATATAGCAGCAGTGGTCTGGCAGGGGCTAACCTGGTGAACTGCTGCCATGTTATTGTCCACCCCTGAACTAGAGCTAGGAGGCATGGAAAAAGTTGTTCTGATATGGAAATGGGAATCACACTAGGGAAAAATTTGAGAAACACTGAACTAACATGATTGGTGCTATGAAAAATAACATGCCAAAAAAGTTGATTCATCTTTAAGGTTGCAATTCTACACTCACTAAATTTTGCTTCCTAGAAAAACCTGACCTCTGTCCCCCTTTCATATACACATATAGTAAGGTCTTTCATTACATAATCACAGAGCAGTAAGCAATGTGACGTATATTACCCAAGCTAAGAGAAATGCGACACACAAATCAATGGCATGGCTAGTGAAAAGAAAATTAAATTAGCTTTAGTCATCTCAGATAACACTGTAAGCACAATGAAAGTTTTTGTAAGTTTATGACACTGAGTCTTGCAGTGCCCCCTATTAAACATTTATTTTACAGTCACCTGGTACTGAGAAGTAGCTGAGAGTCCCCTGGGTGGGAAAGGGAGGAGACACTGATGTCACAGTGGCCTTAAGAGAGAGTTCTAGGAAGAGTCAGTTGGTCAATGAGAGGGAGACCCGTCTGTTGGGCAGGGCCCTGTCTGTGTGTCTGTCACTCAGCCAAGGTCTTGGCATCTGTTTGTCCTGACCCATATCCCACACTAAGTAAGACGCCCATTATCTGATGATTCCCTGCGCTTTGCCAGCCCAGTCACAAGCAGCACTGGGCCCCAGACACGCAGCGCGAGTGCATCGACGACACCAATGAGAAGAGGGGCAAGATGGACAAGCCTGGCATGTTCAAAACACCAGAGCCACCTGCTGCAGTATGTAAGAGGGACCAGAAAACCAAAAACCAGAGCATATATAAAATGGCTGGAAAACACTTTGGTGAGGCGATGCATTTGTGTCCCATACTATGGCGTGGGGGCAGAGAGGTGGTGGCATGTGAGAGAGGAGGGGGCATATTTGTTGTAATGGTGGAAAATAATAATAGGTACAACAAAGAAACTGAGCTTCAGAAATCAAATTTGAATATTTCAGCCTCACATGGTTTTGTTGCTAAGATGGGCAGGGCATAATGGGAAGTAGTTTCACAAGTGTGAGTGTGGGGTTTTTTTTTGTATTAATTAACACATTTGTATTCTGTATATAGAGGCCGCAAAACCCGTGTTGGCTAAACAGCTAGCTGGAGGGACAGACCTTATTGTTCAAGTCAGATAACATACCTTTTTTCCATGTTCTGTCTCAAAAGCTCCCCATGTCTATTATATTTCCATGTCCTTACTTATTTCCTCAGATGGCCCAGTTGATAGTTTTCATATGTTTTATGTCATTTTTTTAAAATGTCTTCCTAAGAGACTATTTTATTGACAGAGCTAAAGTTTAATTTCCTTTTTTGTAACTAGGCCCTTGCCAGCAGGGTTTGCAGAGGCACTCCACCCTGTAATTACTGCTGAAGGAGGCTGATCTACAGAAAATGGAAGGGTGACAAAGAAGCTGTCAGAAAGGTTTTGCAGGAGCCTGGAAGGTGCAAGAGATAGTTGCTGAACTGAGAATACTGGACCTGGGGGGAGGAGGCTGGGAGAAGCAAGGCACCTGCCAGCCTTATCAAAAAGCAGCGGTGAAAGGTTAGATGCATTAAGTGAAAGGAGGGAAGCAGAGCCACATGAACCCTGTTAGAAGGTGAGGTGGTTTGCCACATTTAAGGAGAGTGATGCAGCTGTCTTGCTCCATTGGAAGGATGGGATAACAGCTTCTCACCAGGATTGAGAAGGGGTGAATTACAAAGGAGGAAAAATTCAATTAGAATGGATGTGGCCCATTCCTGACAGAAGGTGTGACTGAGTTGTCTTTCCTGTCACTGGTCTTCAGCATAGTTATATAATGCCCATTGTTGCATATGTATATATTCTTGCCAAACTGAAGTTTCCACGCCATGCATCTGACAAAGTGGGTTTTTGGCCATGAAAGCTTATGCCCAAATAAATGTTAGTCATTGTTTTTGCTGAAACAGACTAATGCAGCTACCCCTCTGAAACAATGGCACTTTTGTGTTTTTATGTCTGATTTTGTAAGCATGAAGTTTTTAAGTGAGGTGAAACTTGTGGGTACACAAGACAAAGGTAGTCTGGAAAGGTTGAGAGCCTCTATTATAGAACTTATTCCAATTCTCCTGCTACTTCCATAAAAAAACTTGAAAAACTTGGCAGCAATAAAATTCTCTAATGTTCACCCTTCATTATGGGCTGTAAAATAAAAGCACCTTTGTGTTGGCTGTTCAGGAAGGTAGCAACATAATTCCTTTTTGACAGAATTGTCTGATCCAGAGAGTATTGTGCATAGTTCCTTTTAAATTGCCTCCCTCCCAAACATGCGCTTCCTGCTTTATGAAAATACCTCTTTCTTTGCTGGGCTTCACTTCTCAGGCACATGACTAATAAAAAGAAAAACACAATCAGATGAAATCCATGAAATGAAGCTCTGGATCATTATTTTAATTGCCTTGATTCAATATACCTGATAATTGAGGGGATCTTTTAACAGAAATTTTCCCTTTCACCAAGATTTTGTTTATTGATATTGATGTCTAGACTTCAGACCTCCCCCCTCATTTTACCTTAACCTGCTGTATTGTAATGGATTTCTACAAACGGTATGCAATATAAAACAGCCAGATGGAAAATGGGAGGAGGTTATTTTTTAAAAAAAGGCATAGTTTGCCAGGCCAAATGAAAAGTAAATGTTAACGCTTTCACCAGGATGTTATGTCTGAGGTTTCCTAATATTTTCACTTGCTCAAGTGCTGTACACACACTCTGCAGAAGAATAGAAAGCTTGTTCTTTTTCCTTTAAAAAAAAAAAAAACTTAAAAGGAATTTGTTCAGGTCATCACAATCCAAAATTTTTAAATGCACTCATGGCCTTGGATCAAGAAAAAATTATCAGTCCCATCTGCTAGCAGTACAGATAAAACTCCAGCTTGTTACTGGGAGACTTATACATAACTCCTCTTAGGGTACGTCTAGACTGCATGTAGATTAGGCTACCCGGCATAGGAAAATGAAGTGGCAATTTAAATAATCGCCGCTTCATTTAAATTTAAATGGCTGCCGCGCTGAGCCGATCAGCTGTTTGTAGGCTCGGTGCTGTAGTCTGGACACTTCGCGGTCGATATCAAAGGCATTTGTCGACCTCCCAGGTATGTCTCCTGGGATGAGGTTTACCTGGGAGGTCGACAAATGCCTTTGATGTCGACCGCGGCGCGTCCAGACTTCCATGCTGAGCCGACAAACAGCTGATCGGCTCAGCGCGGCAGCCATTTAAATTTAAATGAAGCGGTGATTATTTAAATCACCGCTTCATTTTCCTATGCCCGGTAGCCTAATCTACATGCCTCTGTTGTGCTTCTAATGTGATACTGCGTATTGATAGTGCAGGTGAGAATGTGTGATTCTGAACCAGAGAAGACAGAGATGTGCTACCTCTACTTGCGTTACCATACTAAAAATAGGATCGTGAATATTGCAGCAGGCTTGCATTCAGGTGGCTAGCCTTTGCCACTGTCTGTGCCACAATGTTCACATGCTCCCAGTTGCAACATAGGCATACTGTAATGTTATGTTTTGTGTCACTTGAAACAGTAGTAGTTAAAAATAAAATCAGCCAGAAGTAGATTTTAAATTGCCAGTGTACCTACAACTATAGTTGTGATATGTGCTTCAGCTATAATAAAAGTGCATTCAAAGGGCATTCATGTCTTTCTGCAGTTGGAGTTACAATATGGATAGAAAATCTGGTGTACTGTGCCACAGTTTACGGCCAACTAGACCAGATTCCCTTTCTGTGATCTGGAAAGGGCACCCACTTAAAGGTTCCCAGCTCCCAGCCATTTCCTCTCTTGCGTAAAGAGCAGCATGTTAGTCTCTCCTGACAGAAATATTTAAGTTTTCACAGTCCCCTGGACTCTGATACCCCCCACAAGCCAACCTGTCTAAATTGGCCATCATCTGTGCTTCCTCTCCAGAGGCTAAGATCTGTGTTAAGTTGCAACACAGCTCCTTCTAAGCAAGCACATTTATTCTTCAGGTAAAAATCATTACAGAGAAGACATCCCCCTCTTTAAATATTCCCAACCCCATGCTAACATTTTACCAGGGGTCACCCATTAATCTTAGACCTCGGTAGGTCAAAGCCTTTCTGACCCCTTCACAAGGTTTGGGACCCTCTTTGAACCAGAGGTTCTGTTCATTAGCTGTATTAGAAAGAAGGCCCTTAGGCAATTCAAAAGCAGGCTATTTATTCAAAAATCCTTTCTTTGTGTGTTGGGCTCTTGATAAGCCATTTGAACTTGCCATATGGAGAGGTTGTGCACGTGTGTGTGTGCGCGCGCTGGTCGGGGGAGGGTTCCAATCGACTTGATTGACCATAATCACTACCCACAGTGTTTAGTTCCTAGAGTAGAGCTGTGATTTCCCACCCTCCTAGGCTATGTCTAAACCCTCAAAAAAGGAGGAAGAACTGCTCCTGTGCAAAACAGGGGTTTTGCGCAAAAAGGTGCCATCTAAACAGCGCTTTTTTTGTGCAAAAACCTCTTGTGCAAAAGGGAAAGGAAGAGGAAATGCAAATGAGAGCATGACATATGCAAATGAGCTCTCCGTTTGCATTTGCTCTTCCACAAGAGGATCGTAGTTTAGACGTAGCCCTAGGCTACGTCTACACTGGCCCCTCTTCCAGAAGGGGCATGTAAATTTCACGAGTCGTCGTAGGGAAATCCGCGGGGGATTTAAATATCCCCCGCGGCATTTAAATAAAAATGTCCGCCGCTTTTTTCCGGCTTTTAAAAAAGCCGGAAAAGAGCGTCTACACTGGCCCCGATCCTCCGGAAAAAGCGCCCTTTTCCGGAGGCTCTTCCGGAAAAAGTGCCCTTTTCCGGAGGGTCTTATTCCTTTGAAGTAGCACTTTTTCCGGAGGATCGGGGCCAGTCTAGACGCTCTTTTCCGGCTTTTTTAAAAGCCGGAAAAAAGCGGCGGACATTTTTATTTAAATGCCGCGGGGGATATTTAAATCCCCCGCGGATTTCCCTACGACGACTCGTGAAATTTACATGCCCCTTCCGGAAGAGGGGCCAGTGTAGACGTAGCCCTACAGTTTAACACAGACCTGCATAAAACTTCTATTTAACACAATGGGCCCCAAAGATACTGCAATATCTGTCTCATAGAATCATAGGGTTGGAAGAGACCTCAGAAGGTCATTGAGTCCTTCTCCCTGCTAAAATCCCAATTCCAATTAAATCAGCCCAGTCAGAGTTTTATCAAGCCGGAACTTAAAAACTGCTAAGGATGGAGATTACATCACTTCCCTAGGTAACCCATTCAAGGGTTTCATCACACTCCCACTGAAATAGTTTATCCTAATATCCAACCTAGACTCCTCCCACTAAACCTCTTCCTTTGAGAGATTACATACAGCCCTGGCCCACAATAATACATAAACATAATAACAT